ATTTTGTGTCTCTTTGTGGTCGTTTTGTGTCTCTTTGTTGTTAATTTGTGTCTCTTTGTAGTTATTTTGTGTCTCTTTGTGGTTGTTTTGTGTCTCTTTGTAGCTGTTTTGTGTCTCTTTGTGGTTGTTTTGTGTCTCTTTGTGGTTGTTTTGTGTCTCTTTGTAGTTATTTTATTTCTCTTTGTGGCTGTTGTGTGTCTTTTTGTGGTAGTTTTGTGTCTCTTTGTGGTCATTTTTGTTTCTTTGTCATCATTTTGTGTCTCTTTGTGGTTGTTTTGTCTCTTTGTGGCTGTTTTGTGTCTCTTTGTGGCTGTTGTGTGTCTTTTTGTGATTGTTTTGTGTCTTTGTTGTCATTTTGTGTCTCTTTGTGGTTGTTTGTGTCTCTTTGTGGTCGTTTTGTCTCTCGGTTGTGATTTATGTTGACTGCTAATTAGCAAACGTTAGCATGCTAGCAGGCTAGACTACATGTTTCCAGTAGAAAACATTTTGCCTCCTTAGCATGTTAGCTTTCTGACATTAGCCAGTGGTGGAGAAAGTATTGAGATCCTTTACTTCATAATATCGAAACTCCAGTAAATCTACTGGGTTCGGCTCCATTCCTACAGATTCAACCAGACCCTCCTCATCCTTAAACAACCTGGAACCTACACGTTAACATTTATCTGCTCAGCCTCCAGCAGCAGCAGCAGGTGACGCCGGATTAAAGAGAATCTAAAGAACACGAGGCCGAAGTTTAAAAAAGAAGAAGGTTTGGGAGAAACTCAGAGCTGCACTTTAACGTTCGTCTGTTGGTTCGTCCTGAACAAACAAGTCGACTCAGTGATTCAGCCTCTGTGTGTGTGTGTGTGTGTGTGTGTGTGTGTGTGTGTGTGTGTTCGAGGATGATGTATGAAGGTGTTTGTGCTGGAATGTGTGTGTTCAGTCCGTCGGTGTTTTGGCGTCTCACCTGCGAGTGTTTTTCCTGCAGCTCGAAGGCCGACAGGCAACAACTTGTCTGTTGGATCTGAATGAATGTCAACAACACACACACACACACACACACACACACACACACACACACAGCTCTATTTTTGTTCTCTTACTGTACCAGCACTGTCCCAGACTGACTTTTACATGTTGATCAGACGTTCTTCCGCCGTCCATTAAAAGCTTTTTGCTGTGTTCGGTTCTTTTACGTTTACTCATTTATGGAAGTAAAGGTTTAATTAAAGACAAATCTGAGGTGTTTGAGTCCAGAGTTTGGTCTCTCTTCTCATCTTCAGTCTGTTTTTTTTATCTTTTAATCTCTCTTCATGAACTCAAGACTCGATTCTGAAGCACTTCTCTGTATTTAAGCTGCACACAGGAACAAAACATGGCGACAGAGACACAAAATGACCCCAAAGACACAAAAACTGACCAGAGAGAGACAAAAATTACCACAAAATGATGACATAGACACACAAAATGTCCAAAAAGACTAAAATTACCCACAAAGCGACACAAAATGACCATCGAGGAATGCAAAATAACTACAAATAGACTGAAAATGATGATGAGGAGACAGGAAATGAACACAAAGAGACTCGAAATGACTGAAAAGATAAATGAAATGATGACAAAGGGACACAAAATGACAACAGAGAGACAGAAAATGACCATAAATAGACTAAAATGACGACAAGGAGACACAAACGTGCCCCAAAGAGACGAACAAATGATCCTAAAGACACAGAAAATAACCTTAAAGAGACACAAAACGACAATAAACAGACTAAAATGACTACAAAGACACGACAATGACCAGAAATAGACCAGAAAAAACAAGAAAGAGAGAAAAGTAACGCAAAATTACCAAAAAGACAAAAAAACAACCACAAACAGAGCCTATGGGGATCAATAAGGAATGATTTTGTCTTAAAATGACCACAAACAGAGAACTCATCATCCCAAAGACACAAAAACACCACAAAGAGACTCAAAATGACCACAAACAGACTAAAACGATGACAAAGAGACCCAGAACCACGACATGCTGAATGTACTTCACAGTAAAATAACAAAAAACAGGACGAGTCGACATCATTTAAATTAAATTCTCGTCTTTCAGGTCAAACTGAACGTTACTTCTTCAGTTTTTACGCTGTTGACGTCAGCGTGGCACCAAATGGGCGACGCTAGCTCGCTGACAAAGACGCTAAACATTTAAACCACCATTACCTCATTAGCTTAGCTTCAGCTGGCTGCTAGCAGCATTCATTAGCCACCTGATTAGCTCGCCTGCTGCTGCCGTGTCTCCTGACGTTGGCCTGCTAATGTTGCAGCTAAAGAGCGCGTTAGCTAAAGTGTGCTAGCTTAAGCTTGCTACACCTGAGTTAGCTGTGCTCACCTTTCTTCTGAAGTGTTCCTCAGTTTACTTTTGTTCTTCTCTCTTCTGTGACCTCATTTTTAAATTTCTTTGGATAAAAACACGACTCTGTCACAGTTAGCTAACGTTAGCTTCATTAGCTTCGTCCAGAGATGTATCCAGCGGACCAAACCATTTTAAACCTTCTCTAAGGGGTGAGGAACACCTCAGGGGGCCTCAGTGGTTTTTATTTTCTTCTTTTTAGGGACAAAATTCAGTCTCTCAACTCGTTTATTTTTAGTTTAGCGACGACACCAGTTAGCTTGATTAGCTCATTGGGCTGCCTGATTACTGTTTTTATAGTTTTATGGTTTTTGTTGTGGCCATGTTTGTAAATTTACAAAATATTAAAAAATAAATTCAAACTCATTAATCTGTTGCATTTATTTTTACTGGAAACTATCAATATTTTAAATTCACATCTTATTTTAAGGGTTTTGTTTGAAGATTAAAGATGCTAATATTCCACATTTTTACCTTTATTTCACTTAATAGGGGTAAAATCTGACTTGTTTCAACATTTAAGCTCGCTGTACAGGAGACTTTAGGGCTCATAAACTAAAGCTTCAAGCATCTTTAACTTGAGTTTCTGACTCACACGAAGCTACACGGCGACTTTTACTGTTAGTTTTTAGGTCGTGGTCACATTTTAATGTCAACAAACATAATTTCTGCTCATCTGCACGTCAAACAGAAACTTGTTCTGTCTCTGATTGACCCATGTTCTAGATTTTTCCTTATTTTAGAGTTTTTAAAGGAGCAGTTTGCAAATATTGTCATGTCTTAAGTCTGTTTTTAAAACTGCATTTCAAGAACTTTTGTATGTTTTAACATAAAAACTCCACATAGTTTACATCAAAGACAATGAAATTAAGTTGAAAACACCTTTATTATGAGTTTCTGACAGCTGATTGATCACATGAAGCTGTCTGAAGGTCGATATGTTTAACGCCAATTTACCAAAATTAATCTGCTGACTGACTGCTTTTCTTCTTATTTCTTAATAAATGTTTTCTAAAACATCCAGCGGTTCTCAGGCTTATTTAAAGATGCTAATCCTTCTGATCTATTTGAAGGTTTTTTTGAGCAGCTTGTAAATACACTGGCATTTTATTTAACCAATTCTACCATCAATTAAAGCTACACATCTCGTTTAAAGGTTAATTATCTGTAGTAGCAACAGATGAGCGAGTCTCCTGTGGTTTACTTCCTGTTCCTATTAATCAACAGATCAGATGCCGGAGCTCGAGGACAGAAAACAAAACAAAGACTGGAAGCATTTTAAAATGTTAATGTGCATAAAAATAGCTTTATTTCCAATAATAAATCAGAACCTGCATGCAGAAGCCAATGATTCATTGGCTCCTCCACTCCATTGGTGATTCACATGTGGTGTTTGTGACATTAAGCAGCAGAACAAACTCTCCCATGTCCACCGAGCAGACCTCGGGCCCACCGCCACAAGCCGTTTGTCTTTTATTTCATCAGAATCGCTGCTCCGCCCGAAGCCGAGGTCGGTTCAGGGGAGGAAAACTCTTGATTTCTTGGTGATTATTTTTGGTTTCTGGGGAGGAAGGCGGCCTTGAAGCGGCGCCAAGACGTTTCTCAAGTCTCGAATTTTTCAAATACTTGTTAGAAAGTTTATCTACTAGAAGGAAAAACCAACGAAACGGCGAATTGGGCCCGAGGTCTGCTGCTGACGACATGGCTCATCGACATCCCCTGAACAACGAGATGAACACCAACCACATAATCAGTCCTTCTACAAACAACAACAACAACATAAATACAAAAGCAAAAAACAAACAAAAAAAAAAGTCTAGAAGATAATAGAAACTCTTACAAAATAAAAAGTTTCAAAACTATTTGCCTCTGAAAATCTCAAACTAGTGTATATAAAACTTTTAAAATCACATATACAACAGCTTAAAAAGGGCCAAAACACCCCAAACCTGAAAGAAGGCAATAAAATAATTTGACAGTTAAATTAATACAAAAAAAAAGAAAAAAAAAAGGGAAGGAGTTGATCTACTGGAGGAGAAATAAAAACACTGGAGAGGAGAGTTAGTATTAGCATTGGTAGTATCAAAACTCATTTACATTTACAGTAAATCACATGAACGTTACTGCCAGGGAAACAACAAAAAAAAAACAATTTGGCATTTAAATATTTGGTAGATATTTCCGTTGCCAGGATGTGGCTAAGTACCAAGTTAATATTTTTTTTACTTTTTGTTTTAGTGACTATTTACAGATCCTTGGTAGAGCAGTCGGCCGTCTCCAGCTAAGAAATGTGAGCGTCGACCCGTTCGGCGGCGTCGGCTCGTAGACCCAGATTCAAATCATAAAACAAACAGTCGGTGTAGCTTATTGAGAAAAACCTCACGACTAACAATAAGAGAAAAAAAGTACCAAAAACAAGTTTTCTTGAACATTAAAATTTAATGAAAAGAAAAAAAAAACAAAAAAAAACTTGAGGAATTTAAGGTTTAGTTCCACATTTTTTGGCAAATACAGTTTTTAACGAGAAGATCGATACCAAACTCGCATCTGTGCGGTGAAAATGAGGCTACACTTAGCCTAGCCTAGCTTAGCACAAACAGAAGGAAGCAGCTAGCCAACGTGTCGTTTAGCTCGTTTCGTTTGCCTAATTCACACACAAACCGTCATTTTTATACGATGTTGAACAAACGCTAAATCATTTTGAGTCTGTGACCCATTGAGTGTTAATGAGGCTACAGTTAGCCTAGCTTAGCACAGACGGAAGACGCTAGCCAACATGTCATTATTAAACTCAATTCTTTTGCTTAATTCACACACGAACCGTCATTTTTTTTCTCCTTACGATAAGGAAACGCCAAATCATTTTGAGTGACCTGTTTTGAGTGTGAATGAGGCTACAGTTAGCCTAGCTTAGCACAAACCGACAGAAGCAGCTAGCCAACATGTCGTTATTTAACTTTTTTTTTTGCTTAATTCACAAACCGTCATTTTTGTATGATATTAAGGAAACGCTGAATCATTTTGAGTGACCCGTTTTGAGTGTGAATATGAGGCTACAGTTAGCCTAGCTTAGCACAAACAGACGAAGCAGCTAGTCAACATGTTTAACTTGTTCCTTTTGCCTAATTCATACACAAACCATAATTTCTATACGATGTTAAGGAAACGCTGAATCATTTTGAGTCCGTGACCCGTTTATTGAAATTCGACGTCACAAAAACTCAGACAAGAAATGAGTTTAAGGAGAATTCGGTGCCACCTGCTGTTTATTTTTGCAAACCACCGACTGTAACGAATGAAAACAGGAACATATTCACATTTTTTTTTTTTTACACTTATTTTCTTGAAATTTAAAAAACAAAAACAAAAACAAAACAAAAACAACATGATGCAAAACTTAAGGAAAATGCGACAAAAAAAAATTTAAAAATTGGTTTAATGGCAAAAAAAAGGCAGAATTTGCTGTTAAAGTGGCTAAAACAGCTGCTGTAAAAACCATCATGTGTTCGATCCAAACAGAAGCCTGGTCCCACATAAACCAACTTCTACAGTAATCAGACAAACTGCAGCTTGAGACCAAATCACGCCGGGTTTCCGACTTTCACCCCGTTTTTAAACACATCTTCAGTTTTTAACGGGAATAAAAATGTGCGAAAACAGGAGACGCGAGACCTTGAAAACTCGCCAGCTGTCGTTGAGTTTGTTTCAAACCACAGAGTCGAATCTTTTTCTACGTTAGACCAAAAAAATCTGTTTCAAGCTCTTACGCTAACAGCAAAAATGAGGCACAAACGTACGAATTAGCGCTGATTTCTGTTCATCTTGAAGGCCACAAACAACGAGGGATGAAAACGGGTTTCATTTGCATTTTCTTTTGCCAACTGCTGTAAAATTTGGCTGCAAACTGGCCAATGTTTACGTCCAAACAAGCGTTTTTCAGGCTTGGAAACCAGGCTAGCCATTTCCATTTGTTATGCTAAGCTAAGCTAAGCAGCTTCACGTCGACAGTCCAGACAAGAAACCTCTCAGGTCAGCGTGAGGCGGATTGCAGCGTCTTCAGACTGACCGGGTCGAACCGCCTTCTGCACATTCCTGCTCCAGATTAGCTTAGCTTCCTGATCTGGTGCTACGTGCCCAACTGGAGGTTTAAAAGGAACAAAACAAACAAAATAGAAAGAGGTGGTTCTACTGAGCGTCTCACAGTGCAGCAACAACCCTCCCTCTGTAACCGTAGGAAGCACTGTGAGGATGATAAAACCTAACGTGAGCTGTGATTGGACACCGCGTCACGACAGATCAAACGTTTTCTCTTAAAAACAAAAGCTCCTAAAAAGCCGTCGAGCTACAGCGACGTGAGAATAAATAACGGGACTGCTGAAGTGTACCGAGAACCGTAGTGTTTCTGTTTTATATGAACTGAAGGAGTCCGCTCCTGCTGCTCCTCTCCCGAAAAACAAAGCCTCTGATTGGTCGAGAGAGCACCAGTGATGTCGGAGGAGTCAGTCAATCGATTGTGTCGCCGGGGCTCCTGGTTCGTCCTCTGGGGACGCTGACGAGGCACTGCGAGGCCGGACGCCGGCCCTGATTGGTTTGTAAGGGAGGAAGGTGTGTGTGTGTGTGTGTGTGTGTTGGGGAGGAGGCGGGGGCGGAGCGCTGGGTCTATGCGTAGATCTCGGTGGTCGGGGCTTTCTTGTAGATGGGCTTCTTCCCCAAGTCGTAGCTGCCCTCGTCCTTCTTCTTCATGCGGTAGATGAGGAAGAGGATGAGGAGGACGGCGAACATGAGGCCCACGGCGCCGCCGGCGATCAGAGCTGCAAGAGACGACGACACGGACACGATGTAAACATACGACACACGTGAAGGTTTACGACATGCAGCCTTGATGCTAGAAAGTCGTCCTGGAACTCGTTTTTTTTGTGAACATTTTAGATTTAAGCTGAGAAAAATAATTAAAATGAAGTTTTTAGGTGACAAAAAAAAGTTCTGCCTGCTTTTTATGTTTGTGAACCACCGACTGATGTTCACTGGAAGCAGATAAAAGCATCAGACTGAAGCTCACTGTAACGATCTGACTTGTTTAATCCAAACCAGAGAAACAGGAGTGAACACAAACCACATCCAGAGGTCTGTATTAACCTGAAGACCTGGTGAGAGTTTCGTGTTGTACTTCCTCTCACATGAACATGTATTTGTTTTTAAATCAAACTTCTTTAGAGAGTTGGGTTTCCTGATGGATTAACTCGTCAGGAGTCCAGCTCTAACTGAGCAGCACCAAAGCCGGTGTCGTCTCGTCTTAACGTTTACATCAGTTTATAAAACGTCTCCTTTTTTGCGTCTCGTTTGTGAAACAGGACGATTAAAGAAACACTTTCAACCGTTTCCTGTTCAGACGTTTGCCGCTAAACCTCCACCGAGCTGGAACCGACCTGCGAGGACCTCCGTCTTGTTGAAGATGCTGTCGTCTCCGGCGTGGGACATGAGGACGTTGGACGGATACTCGTCGCTGTGCTCGTTCCTCACCACGGGGATCTCGTTGCTGTTCCAGACGAGGTCCACCTCGTTGACGGTCGGTCGCACCGGGCGCTCCGGCTCGGGGATCTTGTTGTCATTCACGTCGGGCTGAAGGTGAAGGAAGTGAAAAGTCAGCAAACTGTGGTGAAAACCTGCAGAAGGTTCAGAAGAAGGGAGCAGAGGAGATGTTTCTCACCTTCACGGAGGGTCTGGACTCTCGGTCAGGAGTCACCGTCGTTGCTGAGGACAGAAGCAGAACCTTCATTAACAACTAGACAAACATTCATCCAGAACCACACGATGCACACGAGGCTGTGTTCAGTGCTTCCTGTCATCAGGACCGACCTCCGTCTCCAGAGCCGGAGGACTCGTAGTCCTCGTCGTCGTACTCGTCGTAGTCGCCGTTGAACCCGCCCTCGTCGTCGTAGTCGTCGACGCCGAGTTCGCGGTTATTCTCGTCGTATCCGTTGTATTCTTCATCGTCCTCGTCGTCCGTGAAGCCGAAGTCCGACCCGTTCGGCGAGTCCCCGGACGCCTCGATGTCGGCGCCGTGCGTCGACATGGCGACGGTCTGCGTGGTCTTCATGGGCATCCAGGTCTCCGTCTCCCTGACCTGCTGGGACATGAAGACAGGACGGAGCTCAGAGGGACGCTCAGAGCAGGAGAACCACCAAAACGCTCCAACATTCATCAGCTTCCTAAACAGGAACATCAGCTGCTGGTTTCATCCAAACAGAAGCTGCTGTCGGTTTAAACGAGCTCCACAGATAACAGCAACCGGACTTTCTGCATCTCAAACCAGCAGATTTATCACTTTTCATCGATTTAAATCAAACTATTACAGAAACTAAAAGCAGAAAACTGTCAATATTTGCTGTTTTTTGCATCTTCTGCACCTCCTCAAACCGACACAATCAGTTTCATATCAGCCTAAACTCAACAAAGTGTTTATTCTCATGTTCAGCATCGACTATCAGCACGAAACACAAAGTCCAGCTGACGGCAGCGGCGTCAGTCTGCAGGTGTTTGGTCAGAAACTGAAGCTTATCAGGAGGTAGAAACGGGAAAAGGGAAGCTGGACCATCACATAAATATCAGTTTAATGCCGATTCACTGAGTTAAAAAATGTCAAGATTACAGCTGCAGCTGACGATTATTTCTCTAAAATGGTTTGGTCGATAAAAATAAAATAAAATAGGAGGAAAGAAACCAGAAGATGTTCATGTTTACGGAGCTGGAATGACAGAATCTGGAGCGTTCTTATTCAAAACCTCCTCAACAGCTCTCTGATTAATGCAAGAGTCGAGAGTTAATCCATTAATTAATCGCAGCTCCAGTTGGGACTTCTCACAGCCCATGTAAGAACCTGGACCTGCCAACAGAACCACAGGGGATCAGTGGAGTCATTCTGGGAGCCATGAATCAAAAGAAAACAAAGAACATAAACTCATCTCCAGGGATCTGAAACAGCGTCCGACGCCGGCTAACGGCACGTTTTCTGCTCTGAAACTCAGCCCTGCGGTCGGACGAAGACAAAAGTCTGAACCGCTCGGATCTGAACAACAGTCATCAACAGTGTGCTGCGGCTAAACGTCCGGAAACCCAAAGAGAAGCCGCACATTACAGAACCGACCGACCAACCGGGCAGCAGCAGCAGCAGCAGCAGCTCGGCCTCTGAAGCTGCTGCTTCACTTCAAACCGTCGGCCGAATGCTGGCGACAAACGAAGACGAGCAGGACGAGGTTTGATGGAAGACGAGTTCTTCTCGATTATAAAGTAAAGAATTTAAACTAATTGATGTGAAAATCACACGTAGAGGACTCACCGGTGACACTGAGACTTGGTTAATCATATTATTTATGTTTATTTCCTTTTAACTTCTCGACAAATCTGAAACTGTTCGGAGCTCAAACTGGACCCAGCTGTTGTTTTTACAGCCTGATAGTTTATATCAAGGATTAAATCAACCGTCAGACTGATTAAAAAAGTCTGACGGAGACACGAAACCCAAAGAGAACGCTTTCAATTCATATTAAATACACATTAAAGTCATAAACATCCAACAGTTTTGCAGATTAAGAACCAGTTCATGGCTAAAAATGGCCCATTCTGACTGCTGATGCTCCGGTTTAGTCACATTTTGTTTCTCTTTAAGGACAGTTTAGTGGTTTTAGTCGTCGTGTACGACACGGAGGTGAACATTAAACTAAAAGCAGACATTTGAGGAGGAACTCTGCACGATTATCTGTGCTTTTAGACACAAAGAAGTGAATAAATAATGTTTAGATGAAGTGATGGCGATGTTTTAGCTGCACAAGTAGAGAAGAAATAGTAAAGAGATTAGTGTAAGAATTTAACTTTAGCAGCAGCTCGTTTCGGTGAGTTTTTCCTGCTTTGTTACCGGTTACATAAGGACAGGAATCGGTAAATAATTAGCAGATTAACCAGTAATAATGAAGATTGAGTTAAAAGCAGCCCAACCAGTAACGCCCTCCCACTGCCCCTCTAATCAAAGCTTCACACGAGGACACACTAACCTGATTTAATCACATTACCGGACTTCGTTTGCTCAGCGAGCAGCGGGATTAAAGCAGAATCGCCCCCCATCGGTCGCCTAATTATCATTAAAGCACAGTTAGCAGAGTTAATCAGCGGTAGAGCCCAACAGAGGCAGAGCAGGTAGACGGAGGCGGGTTTAAAACCGGCAACAAGAGCTCAATAAGTTCACAGCAGAGAACCCAGCGCTGGTTAGAAATACAGTCACAACGATCCCTGAACACGAAGCAGAAGAGTTTAGTGCTGCTTTACTCCATCAGGCAGATACAGGAGGAGCTGGTTAATTAATTAGTCAGCTGACGGGCAGCGATTCTGATGATTAAAATAAAGAAAAAAAACAAAACGAATCATCTCTGATTTACGGTTTTATCTCAAATTAAATTAACATAATCTCCAAATTCTTGAGCTTTAGCTTCTCAAAAGCCAAACATTTGCCTCGTTTTGTATTTTCCTCTTTGCAAAGTTTGTCAAAAGCAAAACGCTGAAGTTTTCTGGGTTCAGCTCATTATTTATCGCTTTATCCGTTTCCTACCAGTTCAAATTAAACTGAAACCAGGAGGAGAAACTCCACATTTCAAGCCACTTAAGGTGAACATTTGCTGCTTTGGGTGCAAAAACCAAACGTTCAGATGAAACTTTTAGAGCTCGTCTGACTTTTGACAAACAGCTTGTTGTCCACTGAGATGAACGTGAAGCAGAAGAAGCTTGGAAACATTTCAACTGATTAAATGTAGTTTTCTGGGTTGTGGATGAGTTTGTTTGGAGAAAACAGGATCGAGCTCTTGATTGAGGACGAAGGTTGATCCGGATCAGTCTGGAAAAGCTCCCGCTCGTCCCTCAGCTTCATCATGAGTCCTCCTCCTGATGGCTTTTCCACTCTAACCGGTGGCTCTGAATACTTGGCATAGCAGCGCCGTGTGTGAAGGTAATCCTGGCCTTTAGAGCGGCCGGCTGGAGGGAGGGGAAGCCCTGCTGTGGCTGCAGACAAAGGCGGCCATTTTGCTGCTCCTTGTTTACTTTCTGACACTTTCTCCTGTCTTAGTTTCTCCTCCTCTGCCTAGTTTGAGCTCGAGTCGCCTGCAGCCCCGCCTAAACGCCACCTGTGCCCATTTAATCTAATCCAGTGGGATTGCGACACTTGCTGGCGACAGAAATGTTTTTTTACAGGAACGTTTTGCTCTGAAGGCGGTTAACCGAGGCCGCCGCCGCCTGCTTCGCATTATGGAGATGTTATCTTAGCGACACGCCTCTGCCTCGCTTCATCGCTCCACCCGGAGATTTACTGCGTCTTTATTTACGAAGCTGGCAGCTCGCCGTCGCACATCACCTCCTGATTAGTCTTTATCTGACTGGGTCGAACATCAGCTGTTGCTCAAAGTCCTGCGAGTCACACTGATGTGCTCGGTGCAAAGCCACAGCGATGATCCACAGCACGCGTTGTGGTTCCATAAATCGTGCGTTTGTGTCGCCAGCGCTTGCAGAAGAAGCAGCTGGACGGTTTGAGCGTTTATCCACCGTTTCAGGGATCTACAGGGATGGTTATATGTAGATTATTTTACCCAGAAGAGCAGCAGAAGAGGATCAATACATTTGGACAATAACTGAACAATGTGGCCCGAACACCTGCCACACGGTCAATAAAACCAACAGGCATTCATCGTACGGATGACGTGTTAAGCCGGTATATTCAAGCAACGGTCCAAAACTCAAACAGTTTACTTTCACAAGAGGAGAAAAGAGAAAGGAGGAACTAGCTAAAACTGGTCGACAAACATCAGCAGCATTCCAGAATTCATTTTCTACTCAAACTTAATTAACTTTTACAGGGAGTCAACTACAAACTAATTAACGCCAAAGACACCATCCGTGTTTGTGCGTTTTGTTCAGCAGATGGAGTTTAACCTGAAACAGCAGCTCACTTGTCTGTTATTCTGCTCTGAATGCAACCAGGTTAGAGATTTATTTCGCCGCTTTATATCGATTTAGGATCGATCCAGACCCACGAGGCTGCAGGTGGAGCCTCGACCGTCTTTGCTTCATTAATAAATCATAATTTAAATGTTTCTGCGTCGCCCTGTGAGCTGCAGCGGTTCGTCGGGCCGCCTGTGGATCAGCGCTCCGCTAAGCCCTCATTTAAAGCCCATCCACGATCCTGCATGTGTGTGTTCACGCTCGCATGCCTTTGTGAGTGTGTGTGTGTGTGTGTGTTTAATCCCGAGGCGTAAAATGGTGACTCCTGCCTCTCGGTTTCCTCGCTGCCGTTCAGAGTCGTGCTGAAACAGGCCCGCTGAGTCACGCCGTAGGAATCGCACTGATCCAGACCACAATAATGAATCCGTGTGAGTCAGGAGGATTCAATCAGCTCTCCGGCGTGAGTCACGCTCGCCCGTTCCGTTTTACCGTAACACCGCGCGTCGCACCCAGAGGCGTGTTTTACTTCAGCGCGTGGTTTCCAACACGTTCAAGAGCCCCAAAAACACGACTTCCAGCACCGGTTTCCTGCTAAACTGCCACCGTTTGTAGGATGTTTGTGTTTTATTGGCAGATTTGTTAACGTTTTGCTTTAATAAACAACTTCTTTGGTTTACTGGGAAGTTTGCTGGACTACGGCGACAACAAATCATTTTAAAGGGAGGCTAAACTATTGATTAATCGATTACTTGTTGGGTTTTGGCCACAGACAATCAGCCTACTATCACAGAGGAGGAAAGAAAACAGAAATAAATAAAAACACGCATTTAAGAAGCTGCAATCTCAAAATTTGGACTTTTAAAAACACATTTTTATCACCGTTGTGGATAGAAGTCAGCCACGTTCTGACACAAACCTACAACAACAGGCTGATCAATTGATTAAATAATTAAAGAAAGTTCATCATTTTAAATCTTTCTTATTCTGCTGATTCAAGCCTCTCAAATTCTAGAACGTGGTGCTTTCACGTCATTAAATGTTATTTTGACTATTTTTTGGACACATGAGGAGTCCAGGCGGCTGTTTTTCCATCATTTTGAAGGTATTTTATTAACCAAAAAGCTGGCAGACGTGTCTCTAATATAAATG